CTGCTTACAATGAACACGAACTGATTTTCCAGCAAGACGGAGCTCCTCCACATTACTCGCTCAATGTGCGCAATTACCTAAATGAGACGTTTCCAGGACGCTGGATAGGACGAAGAGGTGCAATTGAGTGGCCCCCTCGGTCACCCGACTTAAATCCTTTAGATTTCTTTCTCTGGGGGCACATTAAAAGCAAAGTTTACAGCACTCCACCTGATACCTTGGAAGATCTGCGAGGACGAATCATTAATGTATGTCGCGAAGTAACACCGCAAGTGCTCCAGAATGTTCGACAACGGTTTGAAGACAACCTGTATCATTGTTTGCAAGTTGGCGGACAACATTTTCAGCATTTACTTGACTAATACCGTAAGTTTTGAAGTAAAATTAAATCGATTTTCGCATTTCTCATCAAAAATATTGTTCGTATTTTCAAAGCTGCATATTTTCTAAAATAATGGATCGATTTTCAAAAAGTAAGAATCGATGTATAGAGAATTAAAAGCCCTTTCTAATGACCCCCCATTTGACCCCATTCCCATTTAAAAAAATTTGGGGGATGGCACCCCCACTTAGGGGGTTGAAAATTTTGCTATGCTTTTTGCGCCAAAAGTTGTCCCCCTCAGAAGCAAACTTTACCTGTTTTTGGATTTTGCCGAAAAGTTCTTTACTACCCTGTAATGCCTTGCGGTACGTTTTCGATGGGCTACCTTGTATATTGACGTTAACGATCTGCCATTAAGCTGTGTACCATTAGTAATGACTCACCATGTATTGGTGCAACTGTTTAGCAAAGTTAATCCAATTATTTGAGGATGCACAGAGAGAGCCTTAATAAATGATTACAAGCCACGTTACCTATCGATACAATCAAGTATTTTTTGATTTATCACTAAATTAAATTTTATTCGTAGTTATACCTATTTAAACTTTAATTTCAATAACCGGTCTATGTCTGACGAATGTTCTTAACTGTTTACTACATATTGAGGGTGTAATTTAATGCTAGAAGGAGCTGTAGTGTGCAGGGTAGTTTTTCCACAATGCCATACGTTAAAATTGCATTTAACCTAGTAAGTACATAACAGTGTTTAGTTCCAGTAGATATGACACGCTTTAGAGGTTATATGTCACCTGTAGTTCAGACGACGTTGAAAAGGTCTACGAATATACTTCACAGTCACTTTATGAAGTTGATCGAAATTGAATTACCGACTAATTACTACAATAGTATTACATTAATTATATTAAAATAATTAATAGCGTACTAGCTCATTACTGGTTCATTCGAACCGTTGTTTCAGGATTAGTTTTTCTTCAGTACCGTAATGAAACCAAACGAGCGCTACTGCCAAACGAAATCACATCAATAGACACGGTTAAGGCGTTATTCGTAAGGTCATTTCCAAAACAGCTCACCATGGAGTATCTAGATTCGCCGAACGTAAAGATATATATCCACGACTCTTCCAAAGACATGTTTTACGAATTAGAAGACTTAAGGTGAGACTTTTCTTCTTTCATTATTTGACCGTTCTAAACCAATGAGGCCCTGTGGTAATTTCGCGTTTTTGTTGCAGATCTCATCTTCGAGAGATAAGAGACCGTTCAGTCCTTCGACTATTCGAATCAGCCGACGTTTCGGGCGGTTTGCCGATGGCCGGCATCGGCATAGCGGGGGGAGTGGGGCACTTCGAGGATCCCAGCTACTTCTCGGAACCGGAGTTCGACTCGGAGTACCAGCACCAGCACATCCACAAAAGCAAGGTAGGATTTTTTATTCTCATAACTTTGTGCCACTTCGGGAATACCACAGGGAACCGTTCTTGGTCCTCTAGAGCTCATTGTTTTACTTAATGCAGATAATTTCAACTTTTCACACTTACAGACCGTTCTGTTGAATATTCAGCTGCAGTATGATTTGAAACTTAACTTCAACATTACTTTCTGCAATTGTGGCTGATTTCCACCTACCATGTCTCTAACGTTGCCGATGTTCTTCGGAATGAATGGCCTGTATATGTTTCAGGATGTTCTAGTTTCACAAACTGTGCAATCTATTTAGGAATCATAGACAGTTTTTTTTGCCGACTGATTGGTTGTAACATCTACCTGCTTGATAGCGCATAAAAAAGCGTGAAATTTCAGTTTTAATTTCCAATCTAATCTTGATATATTCCTTGAGAATTTCTAGGTGAGGAACAGTACCCAGACGAGAAGAAACACCCTGGGTTCTGGATTAATATAAACAATAATTTCTTTACTTTCATACTTAATTTATTTAAAAAAAATAACTACCTTAAAATTATCATAAATATGTTTTAGCGGAAATAATTATCAGCATTAAATACAAAAGTAACAAACAATAATACTATAATCGAGATGGAGATGGGGTGAAGGATGACGATGAGGAGATGTATTTACAATACTCGAATTGGCATGTTAAAATGCTCTGCATTCGGGAACTGCCGGTGTGTAAAAAGCCCCTGAATACAGCTTTTTTGGCACGGTCCTCCATCCGAAAATCAAAGCCTTGTCGAAAGGTTCCGGATCGCAACCGGTACATATATTCAGCACTGCTTTAACTTCAGCTTCGGCGGGTTCCCTTTCGTCTTCCGTCTGCTTTTGCTGCTGAGAGATCACTTGGTTCTGGCCAACACCCGCCAGGCCGTATAACAGACTTTGATCGAACTCGTCGGTTCCTTTATCGATGAATTGGTTGTCAAATATGGTTCCACCGGACAGATACAACTCCCTCTTCTTCTGCTTGGCTTCACTTGTGTCGCTATCGCGTTTCGCCACGATCTTATCCCCGAATTTTGCCTCTGGCTGAGCTGTGTCTCCATCTTGTCGCTTGAACAGGTTATGCGTCTCCAGGATGGAATGGCCGTTGTCGAGGAATTGAACTTGCGTGTCTTGACCCAGCCCAGTGTCGAAGAACTGGTTTTGAAATGAATTGGAATTTCCAGCAGTTTGCTGTGGCTGGGGTTGGAACCCGAATCTCTGAGGGCCACCTTGTGCTTGAGTCAACTGTTGAGAGACGAGACTTCCAATAAATTGTCCGTTTATGTAGTGAGCGTCGAAGTTCTGACCAGGAATCACCTGCGGTTGTTGCTGGCCCGCGGCTAAGTTAATTCTGACGTTGCGATTGATTTGTCCGCCGCTTAGGAGGGGGTGCATGGGAAGTCTTGAGACGATGCGGGGAGTTGTAGGAGCTGGGGTGGTGATCATCCTGCCGTCATGGTCGTACTTGTGCGCGTGGTGGTGTTTGTGGTCCTTGTGGGCTTTTCCTGCCGTCAAGGCGACTCTGTAGAGTTGCACCATGGTTACTTCTCCAAGCATGCCCCCAGATCCTGAAAAAGATAACAATGAAAATTATGTTTATCCCACAAAGCTCATATTATGGGAAATTTGGGTTCTTTGTAATACCTTTTGGTGCGTGAATGCCTTCTTGGAATCCTCCACCTAACTGGCTTTGCTCTTGACCTGTTATGGCTATACCTCCGCCTGGAATGGTGTGTCCAACCAACTGGAAATAATTTATCATATTAGTTTACATGTTCTGTACTTACTTTCTAAATGTTAAAATTAAATGATGAGATTAAAATGTCATTAACATGCCTTCAATTCGATCTAGATCTTACATTATTGAACTGTTTTTGTTTATATAAAGTTTTGATGAAAATAAACCAAAGAACTCTTCTGTTTCAAATCCTCTAAAATAAATCAAAAGAAATCCAAATAGGCAAACAGAAATAGAGGGTGTATACAGAGTCTGTAGAGATGGAGGGCAAAAGTACCACATAGGGGCGAATAATGAAGAACTAAACTCATAGCTTTAAAAATGGATCTTATTTCCTTAGATAATGGTTACCTGTAGCCTACAGGGACTCGAATTCACAAAACCATAAAGATAACGGTAATATTGCTAACTAACCCTATACAGGGTGTCCCGAAATTCATGCAACAAAATTTGGTCATAGATTCTTAAGACAAATTTAGGGGACCCGTATTTTTTCTTTTTGACAACTGGTCCCCTCTTTCGGAGTTACAGCTTCCTGAAATCTGCCCCTAAGAAGTATTTTTTATATCTCAAAACCATGTTGTACAAGAATCACTAAATTTGGTACACAGGGATTTTATGACATGTGAAATCTCACAGTGCTACGCTTTTTGGCGAGAAACCCCCTTAAGACACTTTTTCGTGGGAACCAAAAAAATTTTGTCGCAAATTTGATTTTTTTTTTAATTATTAGTTAGCTAGAAAGCCATTGAATTTATAAACTTTTTTGTCTCTTGATATTTGTTTCATAAAACGCAATGTTTTTGGGGAAAATGGCGAATCAAGATATACATTCGATCACATTTTGACATTTTTCTCGAAAACATTACGTTTTACGAAAAAAGTATTAGGAGACAAAAAGTTTCTAAATTTAATGGCTTTCTCGTGGACTGATAATTTGTAAGAAATTTAAATATGCGACCAAATTTTTTGGATCCAAAGACAAGGGGGCCCATGAAAAATTGTCTTAAGGGGGTTCCCCGCCAAAAAACGTAGCACTAGCACCATCAGATTCCACATGTCATAAAACCCCTGTGTACCAAATTTAGTGATTCTCGTACAACAGGGTTCTGAGATATAAAAAAGAGATTATTCTTAGGGTCGGACTTCAGGGGGCTGTTTCTCCGAAAGAAGGGGCCACTGGCAAAAATAAAAAATACGAGTCTCCTAAATTTATCTTAAGAATCTGTGACCAAATTTTGTTGCATGAATTTCGGGACACCCTGTATTGTAGAACTAGAAAATATCTTAATAATATCGATCTAGTAGAAGACAAGAATGCGCTTCTACTGTTAGGAAGAGAAACATTAAAAGCTGGAAGATATGTGAAGTTCTAGATTCTCGTTATACGGTTAAGGTTATAAGAGAAATTCTAGTATCATGAAGGTCCATAATAGGTCTACATGATGGGAGTGAATGTTATATCCACTTTATGATTAAGAAATTACAATCTTGATAATACTTTTTTTCCAAAATGTATAGTCATGGCACGAAAAGTACATATCCCAGGGACAATCTAAGGTCGAAATTAAACTCCTCAACTACTTTTTTAAATAATCAATGTAATGGACTGTATTAATCTATTTAACTCTGACTACACATTATCTACGTTATCGTTTTCAGAGAAGGTATGTATGTATGTATGTATGTATGTATGTATGTCGGAGGGTGGTGAAATTGTTTTTCCACCGCGGCACTTAGGCCTTATTAGGCCCCTTGTACACCCTCCTTGATTTTCGAGTACTTTTCTTCAAACCATCCTATTTACTACACGCTACTTTGCTTGGTGGCAAAGTATCGTACAGTTTATGTATGATAGCATGGCCTTGAGTTACAAAGATTTTCTTTGCGCTGTTCTCATTACCATTTATCGGGGACCACACGCATGCGGCAAATGTTGGGCGAGCCAGATCTCTGGTAGGCTGCCACAGCCACGTCCCCGAGCCTGCCTTAGGCCACCCATCCAAATTCCAGCCTGCGTCCGTGATGCTTGCCTCGGCAGATCGAAATCCACCGGCCAAGACACCCGGCTAGGCGGTCCCCATTTCAGAGAAGGTGATTATAATTCTTTCAAGATGTCATTTCCTTGGTAATAAAGGTTTCCAATTTCGTCGTTGCTGAAATTAAATGAGATGCACATTGGATAAACTCTTTCACAATCCACGCAAAATGTGTTGAATTAATTAAAATCTAGTCATCTTATCATCTTCTTTGACTAATTGAACTGGCTGGCGTTGTAGTTAGTGACTGACCGATTAAAAACGTGAAGGAGATAAAGGATTATAATGGTGCGAGTCGGAACAAAATCATGTAACCGATATGAGCTTCAAATTGAATAAAAGATTTTAAAATTCAGTTCATGAGATCTGTAGATAAGGAACAAATCAGTACTAGATGGACCGAGCTCATGACAACTTTTATCTAAACATTTTTTTGTTTAGGAATTTCACCCTTCGAGGTTATTGTAATCTATTTGACATGTATACGCCTAAGCATCCAAGATCATATTTAAGTGTACTTTAACTACTAAAAACAATTTGTCATTGTATCGCTCAATATATCAGATTACTTCGAAACGACATTTAAAGAAGTTAAGGAAGAAAACACTCTATTGCGACTGACGCTTGATATGTTGCTCTCCAACCATCGTTACCTCCGTGAGCTATCGATAAATCACATTTCCCCCGTTATAAATAAAATATCCCCATCCATTGTTGTTAAAGCGTACACTCCAAGGCACCTACTCACCCTATTGTGGAACCCTCTGCCGACGCGCTCGGCGTTGACCCAGATCTGCCACTCTCCTGTCTTTCCATTCCAACTCTGACAAGTGTGATACCATCTGTTCAGGCGGAGGGGGTAGTTGAGCCTGTAGAACGTGTGCCCTTCCACGGACATGCTAAAATAGCTGGATCGCTCGGTGTTGGACACCACCGAGTAGATGGCACGAGGCTGACCATCCACTGTAATGGTTAGAAAGAGAGTCAGTTAATGGGTCGTTAGTTCAAGGTAGATTTAGCGCCTTTCGATTTATAATGACATATACGTTAAGAAAAAAGAACAATCAATATACAAAAAAAATTATGAATTACCAACTGAATCATCGTAATCAGTTCAGCAAGTATGTACATCTATAGGGCCACTATACAGGGTGTCTCACGGTGACGACCCATTAGAATTATTTCAGAGACTACTTCGATTTGAATTTTGAAAATTTGGGATACCGGGTTTTCGGGCATGCCATTCTCAACTAAAATAATGGCGTCCACATACCACTTCCGGTTATACCGGAAGTCGCTATCAACTCGCTTATTTTAAATGGAACACCCTATATATTATTGCAATTTTGGATTCTAGATGTTATTTTAGGTGGGCATTTATGAAGTTTCCCTGTTCCTAAAATTAACCGTTTTTGAGATGAATTTGTTTTCAAAAAAATGGAAACAGTGACTAGCTTCAAACCATGTGTATTTTATAGTAAGAAAGATAAAGCAACAATATTTATAGGGGGGGTAGCTAGACCCCTAAGCTTCCCATCCATACTTTCAAAGTGGCTTAATTGCATACAGGGTGTTAGAAATTTAATACCGAGTTTAGTTAAATTCAAACCTTCATAAGTCGATTTTTTTTAAATGGAACACCCTGTATGTTTTTCTATATTCTGATACACAATTTTATTCTATTTTCCCTCTATTCCTCTATTCCCTATACCTATCTCTTCTAGTTTTTAAGTTATCTACTATTTTTTGTGTAATCACCTAAAATCATGTGATTTCTTGCGAGGAGAGCTATGGAATTTTTAGCAAAACTTCGATATAAACAACTAAACTGTCAATTTGTTGTTAGTCTCTTGCAGTGACTGTTTAATTTAGTGTTTATAAGAAATGGAAAACAATACACATTCAAATGCTGACATTTTAAATTTATTATTCATTCTCGGACGTTGCAATGGAATTGTAAACAGAACATGTACAGTTTTTAATGAGACATATCCAAATTTGCCATCAATGAGCAGAAAAAAGTTAAGAAGAATTTTAGCAAATCAACTAGAGTATGGTCGAATTTGTGCAGAAAGAATTTTACCAAAGCCAATAACTTCAAATGAAGATAATGTAATACCTACTAAGATAGAAAAAAATTACTTCAAAAAGTCATAAGAGTTCAATATGACCCCCATTAACAGCTAAACACTTGTGGATTCTAGAGGTAACACTATCAATCACCGCTTTTACTATTTCAACTGCAGGCAGTTCATGGAACGCTCTTCGTATTCAAGCAATCAAATCCAGTTTTGAAGCAACGGGTGTAGAATAAACTTTTTGCTTTATTACTCCCCAAACATAAAAATAAAGTCGGGGGACCTCACTGGCCAATTCCACGGTCCTAGGCGTCTCATCCATCTATCTTCAAACATTTCAGTCAGCTGTTTATCGATTTGATTGTGACAGTGAGTTGGAGCCCCGTCTAATTGATACCAACACTTCCTTAGTTAGTCTAAAGCAAGGATGCACATACCGCGGCCCGCTGTCGATGTTTATGCGGCCCGCCAACGAATTTTAAAAGTATTCTACTCGCCGCGCTCCGGTCCAAGCATATTATTACGAGACTAGAAATCTGTCGCATCAACTAGATTACAGATTCGCGAAACACGTCGATCCCCGAACAAAGTGGATGGTTCTCGATGTTTGGTAACTCGTATAAATACGACGCATCGCCGGCTACCGGGGCAGTTAAGTTTTGACTACGGATAAGCGAACGTTATACTGTTTGAGAACTGTAATCTGTGACGAGTAAATATTTCGTCGTTCGAACTTGGCTTTTACCGACTGTAACATATAATATTAATTTTGATATGGATAAACCAGGCCCCAGTAAGAAACGTAGTCGTAAGGTTGAAGATGAAAATCGACAGTTTCATGATATTTGGACCGAAAAATACTTTTTTATTTCATCGCATAACAAAATTGTCTGTTTAATATGCAAGAGTAGTGTTTCTATTCCGAAGGAATATAATGTGAAAAGGCACTATGAAACCCAGCATCCAACTTTTACCAAATTAACTGGCGAAAATCGAACGCAAAGAATTTCCACTTTACAACGGGAACTAATAGGCCAGCAATCTATGTTTACAAAACCAATTCAAGATGCTGAAACAGCCACTGAAGTTAGCTTTGAAATATCTCGAATAATAGCGAAAACTTGTCGGCCTTTTAAAGATGGTGAGTTTGTTAAGCAATGTTTGGATATCGCCGCAAAAAAAA